AATAATCGATTAGTCAGTGTCATACAAACGTAATTTTTAAATTGAAACACCGAAACTGTTGATTGTCCGATTAATTGATACTATTCAAATGGAATTTTCAAATAAATCTAATTAAATTTCACCCAATTCGTTGAATAATCGATTATTCAGTTTTATTCAAACGAAATTTTCCACTCATTAAAAATATTGAACACACAGTTTGTCGAATAATCGTTTATCTAATTCTGATCGGATCAGTTTCCAGAAACGCCACATTAACTTCATGTAATAAAACTAAAATTAATTATCGATTTTTGAACAAAAAAAAACAAATATTACTAACTGACTGCATAAGTGGCAATCATGGTTACGAAATTAAGGCGAATTCACATCTTACTCAATTTTGAATCTTTTGTCATAAGTCGAGCTCGCATTAGCTACTACGATAGCTAAAGTCGACTTTATTATCATCTCCTTTAAGCTTTCACCACTTGCTAAAGTCACAGCACGTGGCACAGCCTCCTCATATGAAAATTTAATGATAGCTAATTGATATACATACATACATAAAAAAATATAAAAATTTGTTAAAGTTTGTTTTCGAGTGTGTAAATTAAGTGTAAATTGAGCTTAGCAAAGTACGTACATATTTACTTATATAATTGTTGAAATATTTAATACAAAAAAAAGGTAAAAAATAAAATACTTAAAAAGGTATTAACGAATTTGTTGAAATTACAGATATTTTTTTTAACTGAGATAATAATATGCACAAAAATTAGCTAATAATATATATATATATATATATATATATTAATATAATAAATAATTTCAAGTTAATGACAATTAAAAGCAAATTATATGCTAGAATAATAATAATACATAGTAACAAAAAATCATTAAACTTATAAAAAGGAAATAATGAAAATTATATTTGAAAATGCGCATAAAATAAAGTAAAGTATTAGTGTGACCAGATATGTGCGAACACATATACCTACAATATATATGAAAATTGCATTAGTGCAGAAAAGTGCTTTCAAGCTAAAAGTCTAGTTACCTGCAAGCCCACTAAATTTTCCTAAAGAAAAAATATTTGAAAACAAAAACACTAAATAAATAATTAAACTACATTCGATTTAGAAATTAGGCAGCGCATTTTGTGCGAACTCCCGACTTAATAAAAATCCTAAACAAATTTAAAAACTTAACGCTATATAGAAAGATGACGCTAAAAAAAATGGCTTAAAAATTGGAAAAAAATTCAAAAATAATTATACTTTAGTACCAAATAAAAGTTTTTGTTTTAATATAAAAAAAAAAACAATTAATTAGAAAAAAATAAAAACCTAGAAAATAAAAGAAAAACTAAAAATTATTTTCATAATTTTCTTTACACTTCTCCAAAATTACCTTTCATTCATTTTTTACTATTTCTAGTGTTTTTGTAATCTCTCATAACAAACAAATTACTCAACCGCCGTTGCATTAGTCATTTAAATTATTAAAAAATATTCTAGAAAAACTGAAAAAAATAACAAAAATATACCCAAACATATGTAAATTTACAAAATTCCTAAAAGAAAACTGCACAGTATGCATTTGTATGTAATAAAATAGAGAAAAAACTTTAAATTTTACCAAAAAAAAATTATCGCCCAACTCTCAGATACCAATTAAAATTCATATTCAAAATTCATATTCAAAATTCATATTCAAAATTCCTATTCAAAATTCATATTCATCCACTTAAGAATTTATTATCAGCAATTTTTTCCTTTAGCAACAATTTTATTTATGCCATGTAATTGTATACACACATCTACTCTTATATATATAAACTTAATATTTATTATGTACTTTCAAACAAAAGTAAAAAACAAAAACAAAAAAATACCTTTCATTGTTCCTTTTATACAAAAAAAAAATGTTAAAAATTAGTTTAATGAATGTAGATCTTTATGAAGGATAATTATTAATTAATTATAAGTAAATAAATGAAGCGAAAATATTGAAAAAATTATTTAAATAAAAGATATAAAAATGGAAAAATTTTATTTTGTTTTCTTCTTCTTCTACCTTATTAGAGTACGCACAGCTTAGGCGATTATAGCCGAATCAGCAATAGTGCGCCATTCGTTCCTAATCTTCATACTTGGCGAGCCCGTTTAAAATATCAAGTGAAACCCGGACGCTCTCCACATAATCTCTCTAACGGAGTACGAAGTTTCAGGTCTTCCTCTCTCTCTGCTTCCAACGGTTAGTGATCCAACGAAAACTTTCAAAGTTGTAGCGATTTCATTCATACGGATATCATGACCGAGCCAATGTTGCCGATGTTTCTGTTTTCATCCTCCATGCCCACGCACCATTAATCAGGACTGGAAAGCTGAATGACTTGTAGAGTTTGGTTTTGGTTTGTAGAAAGAGGACTTTTTTTTCAATTACCCACTCAGTCCAAGTAGAAGATGTTGGCAAAAGTGATTCTGCGCTGGATTTCAAGGCTGACATTATAACTGGTGTTAATGCTGGTCCCTAGATAGACGGAGTTATCTACGATCTCTAAGTTATAATTGTCAACAGTGGTATGGGTGCCAAGTCGCGAATGCGATGACTGTTTGTTTGATTACAGGAGGTATTTTTCGTCTTGTCCTCGTTCACAATCAGACTCATTCGCTACGCTTTACCAAGATTTGATACATGATGAGTAGCTAGTCAACGGGTTTCTACCAGATTCAGCTCATAAGGTCCAATCAGTTTGTTGACGGTTGGCTTTTACCTTTCACACAATACGTTTGATGGGACCTTATATCCGATATTTAGGAGGCTAATTCCAAGGTAATTGGCGCAGGCCGCAGCTTCAGCTGCTTTGTTGTATTTTTAACGAGTAATTGCTATTCGAACCTCGTCATAATCCATCATCACTGACTGTAGTGTTGGTTTTACTACCTCCGGGTATTGCACTTTCACTACGGTTCCGCATATTGAAGAAATATTCCATCCATTCAGCAAGTATGCTCTAGACATCGGTCACTAGATTACCATCTTATTACCCACATGAGTTTGCTCCGGTCTTGAATCCCTCCGTAAGTCGCCGCAGCTTTCCCTCAAATTTTTAGCATTACCCTTGTCGACTAGCCTCTCTTATTCATGCATTTCAGCCTATTTCTATTTTGTCTGCCAATGCGTCTTGCTGCCCTCTTAAGCTCTCGTTGTATATCTCACACCACACGTATTGTGGTCAATCGCAAGGTTGCAATGTAGGCATTGGTTAGCGCAGTTCACATAAGAGCCACTCACGCTCTAAGGTATGATAAAGACACAATAACAGGAATCGGGTATAGTATGCAACTAAAGCGTATCCCAACATTAACGCAAAATTGGGATTTATTAGAAAATAGTGTTACAAGTCCATTTTCTAAAAACTATGGTCCAATAGCGGCCGCCTTAGCTGAGTGCGTATAGCCATTCTGAAGACCACGGTTCGAGCTCTCATTGGCCAACATCCAATATTACAGAATATTAATTTTTCTAATTGCGATCGCCCATCAAAAGGGAATGGCAAGCTCTCCGATTATGTTTCTTACAGGAAAATATGCTTCTCATACAGATCCATAGACCGTTCGGAGGCAGCTTAGTGTAAACTGTAGGTCCGTCGTTTTATTTCAAAAATATCAAGACGCACTCCACATAATAAGGGATGAGCTCTACCAAAAATCGGTTCAGCGGCTTCAAAGTTCCAACTGATTCAATTATGCCTTTGGCCGTGGGCTCTCTGAAGCCTAAAAGGAGCAATTTTAGCGATTACAAAAACCCAACAGAGTGAAAATGTGTTTCTTCGTTTAAAACGATTTTGCTCGAAACATCAGCACCAATTAGTTGATGCTCAATAATCGACTCAAGAAACTCTCTCCAATGTGCATGGTTATTAGGTTTCAGTCGCTGTGTAAATCATGGAGACACAGATCTTTAGCGCGCATCTTGTAATTGACGCCGAATTGAGGTTACTGGATTATCACCGACACTCTCACGCACAGCTTCGTTAGTGTCATTGGAACCACTTATGTTTCGACAGCCAGTGTGGTTGGCGGCTTCTACGGAGTCTGCCTCTCGAAATTCTTCAATTAATCTCTTCACAGTTGAGGAAGTTAAAACACTATTCTGACCATATTTGGTATGACATTTTCAAACTGTGGCCGCCCAGCTTTAATTATTTTTGAAATACTGTTCAATAACGAAGACACGTTGTGCTATCGTGCAGCGTGTATCAAGGCAGAGGTACTATTCCGCAATTATTCCTGAACTATCTCCCTACAGCTGCGGCAGAAGTCGTTTGAGAAGCAGTCCATACTTCGGTCATGAGTCCTCGCAAGACAGTGGACGGTTATTACGCCGGTTGTTATGCTTATGGAGGTCTGATTTAAAAGTAGTAGTGATTTAGTATTTATCCGCTGTTGGCCCTTCTGGTGAAGGCTAGTCTTAGCAGATACTTTCCAGGAAAACGGCATACACGCATCATATGCAGAGTCCACCGTGGATAGGACTATTTCCCCTCTGGTCAGTTGGTCGGCTATGCAGTTTTCGGGTATTTCCCATAATGGAGTTGCAGCTCACATAAAGTTTCTCGTTTCACGGGCATTTGGAGGTGCTGAGGGCAGCGCACCTGTAATTAGTATGAAGGTCGTCCGGCTTGCTCCTATAGCCTCTTGCCTTGTCTAGAGCTGGCCACCAGACAGTGACTCCGTCGTGGCTTTCTTACACCTTTCTACAGTGTTCAGCTTCCAGGTGAGTTTGCTGTCTAAGATTTTTCATGGGCATTTGTTAGTTATACCGTTAATCAAATAAAGCTATACTCAAGAGAGGATTTTATGTAAGAAATTTGCAAAAATTCATGTATATATTATATACATAATAACTATATATGTACATATGTACATACACGGAAATTTTTTTATGTGTCTAACAGAAAAACATACATACATATTTACTGCTAAAATGCTTAAATATTGTAAAAAATTAAATAACAAAAAAACATTATATATTTTACAACAACATCAAGTTATAACTAAATTAACTTTTTTGCCATTTTCTATATACTTCGTCTTGTATTTCTCAAACATCTCCGTCAGTTGATCAATAACCTGCTGATGAATTTTATCCACATACTCAGGATCGGGTGCGTCACTTTTCTCCACCTCAATGGGGGTGCCAACTATTGAAAGAAATTTTATTAATAAATAAATAAATTTTAATTATTTCTCATTCACTTCACTTACCCACTTGCACGATGTGCTTACGTCGTGGCAGTAAACCGTAAGTGTACTGGAAGAAACCGCGACCCAATACAATTAACGGTGAAATGCCCGTTAGTCTTTTGGTTAAAGTTTGGAAGCGTCGAAGCCATGAGTTCGGTGGATTGTTAACTTGATCGAAGATTTCCACTTCGCCAAAGGAGAATGTTGGCACGATGGGAGAGCTGTAATGAGAGAGAAGAAAAAATATTTAATTCAGCGCAATAATTCCAAGAAAACAAACAGGATTTTATTCAGATGGAAACAATATAACATCAGTCAAGTCGAACGATCGATGAACTAGATAGTGTGAGGTTACAAATATAACATGCTCCAGTCAGTGCTAAATGCCATGAATCTCCGGGTTGTTGCGTAAAACTTTTCTCTCTATGAAACCCTAAATCCACAATGAATGCAGCACACGTTTCGGGAGCCCTTGTAGGGGTTTACGTGCCGATAAATTGTCTTGTACACTGCAAGTGGGTCTTCGCACTCAACAGCATCAAAGAAAATCCATGCTAAAACAAAGCCCTGAAGTAGAAAGAAAAATACCACAATACCTTGCAAAAGACCTTCCGCTTGGTACCGCAAGATTTGTGGCAAGCTCATCATTGGTAAACTGCTTCAATTACGGCTGGACTCTTCAAGCGTTCTGAAGTCTAATAAAAATTATCGTATTCTTTAGTGCCCAAAACCTTCTAGAATAATCGGAAATGTGTAAAAAGGTAATTGGCGCTCTATAAGCACTCAGCCGAGCTCCACCTCTAATTTATGGTGTGCCTCCTGATGTTCTTCCAACAAATGTAAGCATCCACTCTCAGAGAAGTCAGTAATATACTCGGATGGGTGAACACTCACTACCGATGAGCGGCTGCAATTAAAATATAAGGTTGTCAAATATCCCCCTTCCGCGAAGAATTCGGACAGCCACTTTTAACAAGCCTCTTTTGAGTTCAACTTCACACCACCAAGGGCATTCGCCATGGACAGTAACAGGTAATAATCACTTGGCGCTACGTCCTTGCTATATGGTGGATGCGATAAAACGTCCCATCCGAGCTCCCGTAGCTTCTGACGAGTCATCAACGAAGTGTGTGGTCTGACGTAGTCCTGGTGGAACGCTACACCCTTCCTGTTGGCCAATTCTGGACGCTTCTGGTCGATCGCCTGCTTCAAGCGGTCCAGTTGTTCGCAGTAGATGGTAGAATTAAGCGTCTGGCCATATGAGATCAGCTCATAGTGGATGATTCCCTTCCAATCCCACCAAACACACAGCAAAACCTTCCTGGCCGTCAATCCCGGATTGGCCACTGTTTGGGACGATTCACTGGCCTTCGACCACGACCATTTTCGCTTGATATCAAGAATGGGTCGAGTTCGTTCCGTTTCAGCAGCATATCGCAGGCGTTGACTCGGTCCAGAAGGTTTTTTTGCGTTAAATTATGCGGCACCCAAACATCAAACTTTTCTTTGTATCCAGCCTTCTGCAGATGGTTCAAAACGGTTTGGTGACTAACTCCCATCTCCTGGGCGATGTCACGAGATGCCATATGCCGGTCTAACTCGATGTATTCCATGATTTGATCGGTATTTGTCGTCACAGGTCTTCCGCCGGCTGGCTTATCCATGGTGTCGTTTTCACCGGCTCTGAATCGTCGAAACCATTCCTCCGCGGTTCGAAGTGATAGAGTACCATCCCCCAAAACACCATTAATCTCACGGAACGTTTCTCTAGCGGATTTGCCTTTAACGAAGGAAAACTTTAAAATAGCGCGAATTTCGGCGTTAGTGAACTCCATGTTTACACGTCTATAACTGTTGAACGCAATATCCAAACTAATCATGCATAGCGTTGTTTTGTAGGTTATGTCAAGACCTTTCAAATTATGTATAGTGTTGCCAGATACGAGCTCTGTAGGGCCTTCTCGCCTTAGTTCGCTTTCAATCGGACATTTTCTGGCCACCATGAGTGTACCTGATCTAATACCACCAGTCATGAGCTTGAATCATGTATTACTAGCCATTCCATGACTTCATTCTCGGCTATAAAAACGTAAGCGGTGCCTACGTCAATTGAAAAGGCAAAGTGGAGAGCATCCTATGTGAAATACGCTTGTCAATTTAATCATTTCGTTAAGAGATGCTGATGTACTCGGAATTGGAAGCACGTAGAGGAGGATAATTATGTTTAGCCAAGTATCTTCCGAGACTTCACGACCATGTTTTCCAGCGCATCACAAAACTACGTCTGCACTGGCTCGGAAATGTTGTACGTATGAATAAAGAAACTTCAGCGAAGAAGATGCGAAAGACGATCGAAATCGACAAAGGGAACGACCACGAATCTGATGGAAAGAACATGTTGCAGGGAACCTGTTACGCTTGGTGCAGCTATGGCGGTCGACCAATACACGATACAGATTATAATGATCTCTTAAAGTAAGTAAGTATCTTCTACACCGTCACAAAGTAATCCATAATTTTTACAATAGTTGGCTTTAGTGATCTGTGTCTCACGTTCTATAAATATGAATGGTTGAATGACGATGATATTTTGTACTAAAAAGATAACGAGAGAAGTGTTGATCACTAAACTAAGTAATTTTCGAAAATCGACACACTTCTGAAACGAATGGTGACCACCGGTTTTGAAAATCAAGATCACTTATAGCAACGTTAAGTGAAAACGGTCGTGGTGTGAGGGCACTGATCTGGCACAAACAGTTAGTATCCAAGCCGGAATTGATGGCGACAAAAGATTTTTTAGTGTGTCTGATGGGATTGGCAAGGAACCATATACTATGAACTGCTATCCTACGGCCATATACAGATTTCTGATCTGTCAGCGATTGGACCGTCTGCCTTGACCAACAGAAGGTGAATTGTGCTTCATCAGAACAACGCCAGACCAGTAATAACGGTAGTAACTCGCGAGAAGCTCTGAGCATTAGGCTGGCAGGTTTTAATATATTCATCTTATAGTCCGGACCTCGAACCATCTGTTGCTGTCTAAGGCAAATGATTAGACTGGTAAATAATTGGCCTCCAGTTAAGCCTATGAAATTTCTGCCTATAGGGACAAGGGTTTCTAGGAGTGAGGCAATGATAATGACATTATCTTCAAATGGCGAAGGGTAATCAAGCAAAGCATATTTGACATAAATAGATTAATTTTAACAACGGCAATGCAAAAATGATGCATTACTTCTTACTAGACCTAAGAAAGTTTAGTTGCTTCTGTTTGGATTATAGCACATTACGGACTTGAGTACACATTATCCAGCGGTCCACACTAGCTGTCTCTCCAACGAGTATTCCAATACCCAAATCTTCAGCGTCGACAGTGCCTCTTTCCATATTATTGGATGAGTGCATAAGTTCGTGCCCGATTCCGCTGGATGCCGTTCGAATCGTTTGAAAGTGGCGCTCGTGAAAGAAATATATACATATTAAATATCGTTGGAAAGATGACAGTCCGAACTGTAAATCAAGCATAAAATAACTTCATTTTGATTTGAGTTGCTTAGTGAAAAGACGCATGGAAGATGAACAACGAAAAAGATCATATGCGTCATATTATATATGTTATACGAATTCCGCAAAGGAAAAACGGTAGGCGCTGCAACTAAAGATATTCGCGAAGTTTATTTGTACCGTGCTCCAGCACTCCGCACAGTAAAGAAATGGTTCGCGAAATTTCGTTCTGGAGATTTTAACCTCGAAGATCAACCTCGCAGTGGACGGCCTTCTGAGCTTGATGACGATGTTCTAAGGACTTTAGTTGCGAATAACTCACGTATTTCGACGGAAGAGGTTGCCAGTGAATTGAACGTCAACAAATCAACTGCGTTTCGTCGTTTAAAAAAGGTTGGGTACACTTTGAAGCTCGATACATGGGTGCCACATCAGTTGAGTGAAAAAAACAAAGTGGACCGTATGTCAACAGCAATTTCTTTGCTTCGACGGATCAAAAACGAACCGTTTTTGGATCGGCTCGTGACTGGTGATGAAAAATGGATCCTGTACAACAATGTTCAACGCAAAAGAACATGGAAACAGGCACACGAAGGGGCGGAACCGATGTCGAAAGGTGAATTGCATCCGATGAAGGTACTGCTGTGCATTTGGTGGGATATCCGAGACGTGATCTATTTTGAGCTCTTGCCAGCTGGAGAAACGATCACTGCCAACAAGTATTGACAGCAATCGGTCGAATTGAAGAAAGCAATTGATGAAAAACGTCCGATTTTGGCCAATCGCAAAGGAGTTCTTTTCCATCATGACAACGCCAGGTCACATGTTGCAAAACCGACCCTGGCCAAACTGAAGGAAATGAATTGGGAAATCATACCGCATCTCCCATATTCACCCGACATTGCACCTTCTGATTATCATTTGTTTCGATCGCTGCAGAACAATTTGAATGGAAAAAAATTTAAAAATGTGGAAGACGTCAAAAACCACCTTGACACCTTTTTCAACGAGAAACCGCGCGATTTCTATGAATCAGGCATCCGTAAATTGGTTGAACGTTGGGAGTGGATTGCCAAACATGATGGCGAATACATAATTGATTAATAAAAGCGCTTTGTTTAACAATGCATTGATCACACCAAACAAGGCAACTTCTTAAAAGAAATTTGCTTGAGGAAGTCTACACTAAGTGCTTATCTTGGCCACGCAGCTACCATGAGGAATAAAACTTGTCCAGTCTTAATCTCGAAATTCTAGATTTTTCGATCCAAATTGGGGATTGTTCTATTCTTCAAGTCTTATTAAAAAGTTTTCAGCCCAAGAAGCTTCTTTCACTAGAGTCGCTTTCCGCTTTCAACCTCATTATGCGCCTGTTAGAGCTTGAATTGCCCGTGCTGACCTTTCATAGAGGTCACAAGCTATAGCTTGGAAACACCAACCATTACACTACACATTTGCCGATGTTTAGTGAAATGAACATTCACAATCCAGGCAGACAGCACACACTATAATAATCAAACTAATCAAAAAAAAATAAAAATAAACTTTACAACCCTATAATAACTGTTATCACCAGCGATTTTGCCCTTATTACTTTACAAAAACCCATAAAAAAATGCAATAAAATTCTATAATCAAATGACTATTTGATTTATAGCGCAAATATCACACCAACAACTCACCCTGTACGTATGGCCAATTTCACAAAACCTTTACGCCGCTTCAACGTAATTATATAACGTCCGGGATGCGAGTCCAAAGCCTCTTGAGCGCCACCAACCAATATAGCAACCGCATTTGAGGTGAAACCATCCAAATTGTCAACATGTTTCGGATGATTCGAGGCGGATAAGTAATGCATCAGCGATTCCTTGGATACCGAGACGAGACCCCAGTAGCGTAGCACCTCACGTAATATGGGCGTATAGAAATGCATGTCCAGCGTGCCGATTTTCGGTCTTATGCCGGGGAATAACTCCAACCATTTGCGTATGTCGCTGCTCATGTTACAGGAAATGCCAGTACTAGCGGCGGGCGTAAAGGAATAGAGAAAGGTTAGCACCCAAAAATTATTACATAAAATTTTCCTACGCAGACCCACTCACCCGATAATGCCATGTGGAAAGCTTGCCAATACATAATTACGATCGGGACTCAAATCAGCGGTTTTTATCAACTCTATCGGAAAGTAGTCACGAAAATGGCGCCAAATGCAATTGCTGCGCAAAATTTTAAAGCTGAAAGAAGGAAAGAAAGAAAATGAAAGGAATATTTTTCCTGCTGAGTTGTCGCGGCCGCAAAAGCTAAAACTTTCGACTAGTCCAACCTACCCGTTGCCATTTATGTCACTGAAATTTCGCGTATGATCAAAGTAAATATATGTCAGGTATGCGAGTGTGAGGAGTCGCCAAATGAGGTTACCGTAATACTAGAAGAGAATAAATAAAAAATCATAACAAATTAAAATCGGCAATAAAAAAAAATTATAATATAGAAATGAAAATGAAATTGTCCACATAGGAAATGTTTTAGAATAGAACATGACTGTTGAATATTTTTGATTGAAAATAATAATAAAATCAAAAACATTCAAATCAAGCCAACTTAATTTCCAGTTTCTTTCGTTATAAAGAATTTATCTAATGTCCTTTATTTACTCAGTAATTCACTATTGAATTACAATGCACTTTACCAGCTACAATCACTTGCATAAACTTTCACAATTTACTTTACTTAAATGTAATCTCCAACGTGTTTACTTTACGACTCTATACTGATGTAATCGGCAACGAGTTCACTTTGTAACTAACTTGACTTGGCAGCTGAGTGTCGCCTTTATATAGCAATCGGCTGCGCGTAGACGAAAGTGTAGAATAATCGAGTTGTTCGCTATCGAAGGTTCTCGTTTTATCGTTTTAGAATGTACTAGTTATCGGCTTCTCTCTTTCATCTGACATTCGCCTCGCATTTTCGCAACAATACCTTACTTTTGATTTTAAAACTAATAAGAAGTAATTACGTTGTGATGGACGGACGACAATCTTCCAGTGTTCTCTCCGGGCGTACGCTCCAAGGATTTAACACCGACTTAATCACTATTTGTTAACAGCAGAGAATGCCAGTAAGCAAACTAAGAGAAGGTTTCGCTTCGAAAAGCTGCAATCGCAATAGACATCCGAACGGTTTTACACTCGACTTGCACTCCTGCTCTCTGAGAGTAGTCATCGGCAACTCGATTGAAAGGTATTAGGGGACAACATTTCAAGCTGACCGCGTACAGCTGAACACAAAACTATTGGTTTTCGGCAGTACTAGAAGAAAACCTCGTACGATGAGGATTGCCGTGCCACAGTGGAAAGAAAAGAAAGCCAACTGCCTACTTTGCAACGTTGTGAAAGACCACTACACGTGCGGGTTGGGAGGCATACTAGGTTCGAAAAGCGATTATCCTTTCAAAGGATAACAAAACTGCAGGCGCTGCAATTTAAACATAACGTTGAAGGGCTGACAAGATACATGCATCAACTGCTTTGCAAGGGCCTCCGACTATTGAAACCTACGTGCCAAATCCGCAAAAACCCACTGTCAGAGTCAATTACCGTCGGATTAGCACTCTAAATATAGCATATAAGGTCGTATCGAGCATATTAAAGCCAGCGTCAGCAAACTAATCACTAACCGCCTCAGTGCAACCAGTATGTCACTATACGCCAAATATTGGAAAAAATATCCGTGAAAAGAGAATCGATACACCCCAACTCTTCGTCAGTGTTAAAGCAGCCTGCGACAGCACGAAAGGGTGCTGCCTCTAGGAAGCTTTGTGAGACTTTGGTCTCCCCGAAAAGATTATACGCCTATATAAACAGATGTTAAGCAGCACCAATATGGATCGAGAAAGACCTCTCTGAAAGCTTCGATACCAAAGAAGGTTTCGAAATGAGTGGACTGCTGGATAAAATAATGCGAGCTGAAGAGCTGAATAGGGGAGGTACAATATTCTATAAGAGTGTACAGCTGTTGCCGGTTACCGATAATATTGACATCACAGACGTCTACAACTGCGCCGTAAATACTGAATTCTCTAGAAGGAAGGATTAGGTAACGAAGTGTATGAGTCTACTAGTGAACGAATGCGAACAGTTATTGCATTCCCGCGACACTATTGACAGTCCTATTCTCGTTGGCAATGGGAAGTACAGCAGTCGATCGAACGATATGCTATACGAGATGCGTGGCGCTATTGACATAGTTCAGTGGGTCATGTGATGCTTTAAAAGTTTTCGATGCAATACCCACCGGTGGAAGTAGAGGTAGGTGAAGAGCTTCATTCCATTGAAAATACCAGATGGAGAAGGACACAGATGTGCTTCTTTTTTCCGATTGGGCCCAACCACTGAAAAATAGGAATGAATGGTGAATATTATTAATTCGACTATGATAGGATAAGCAGTGTCTAAGACAGTATTCCTGCATAACATCGGTCACTAGCTCTTGCCAACACTAAAAAGAGAGATTTTAGTATTATTGTAGATATATATACGTGACATCTACCTCTAAGATATCATTTGCACAAGCTAGAGCTCGCAAAAAGGGGGACGAAGGGCTAGAGCATTACCTTTGGAAGTATCCGACCTTTAGCTGTAAAAGCTTCCACAGTGCTCTTATGGAGGTGGACCCTCTGATTAAGAATCTATCGCACTATCTAAGCATAGCCGTTAATGACTAAAAATTGAGTTTGTTTATTTCACATTTTACTTAGCTCTCTTTATGGCTGAGACTTAACTCGCTTTGTGGCTGAGTTATGCTTTAACTGGAGTAAATTCCCGTAGAGAGGACCACTTTTCACAACAATTGCTGAGGTAGCGCGTAATATATTCTCATACAAAGCGTCAATCGTCCCGGGCTTCTTGCGTAGCTACACAAAAAATATTCCTGCGATGTTAAATCGAACGGTCTTGGAGGCCAACAATGCAAGATAATGTGCTCACTAGACGTTTCCTTCAATAAGTTGACTGTTTTGTTGACTATATGTATGACAAGTGACACCCTTTTGTTGAAAGTAAAGGTCGTCCACCGACAACATCCTCCATCTGCCCTCCATAAAGCAGACCAAACAGTGACTTTTCGGTAGGCATCTTGTTTTGTGCTCATTCACCGAACATGCGGACTCACTTGTTGGTCGTTCGAACTCAATTCTTGCACACGGCGAATTTTATAAGCTCGCAAACCAAGATGAGCACAATTCCAATTGTTGCGCGCTGTGGCGGATGATCTCATTCGGACCTTCAGCGGTAATCTGTTCCACAGCAGCAATAGCGTCTTCGGTGCGCACCGTACGGCATCGCCGATTTATTAGAGCGAACATGATGTGCGGATGATCCATGGTTGCTCGAATTTCCTACTCTGCAAGGCGATTATGTTAACTAAATATTGTACGCCGCCTGCGATGTGTTAAGCGAGACGTTTGTTTATTGTGAAATGACAAGCTAAATTGCGGATAAATTAAGAAAGTGCCATCAAAAAAGATTCTTTGAGCGATAAGTTTTGTCTCATTCATATCTAAAAGCACACAGAAAATAATCAAAATCGGGAGACAATTTCATATGCATAGCTTCCCTTCAACCGATTTTTTCTGATATGAGTTTTCGGGTAAAAAATCTACACACAAACATTTTCACCAAAAAAAGTCGTAATCCGGGGACTTCATCATGTGCCCCCCGTACAATTGATTTTTTCAGGTTTGCTTCTAAGAATTTGAATTTTTACATACTACATTCGCATATACAAATAAGCATCCACACCAAAAATCGTCAAAATCGGGAAATTGTAAAGGGTGATATTTTCAGAGCTATAGTAAAGTTTTTCAAACAAAAAAAAAACAGATAAAATTCATTAAATCAACATGAAATCTTCATTGAATCGATGGTACGGTCCATATAATTTAATGAGGGAGAATTATTTCATGCAAACGTGACTGCGCCTAAAATGGTCCTTCCGCTTAATTCAATTTTGGCATACCCTTTTCAACATTTCGGCGGGAATCTCACGAATAAATGCTTCAGTATTTTTCTCCAAAGCGTCAATTGTAGCGCGCTTGTCTGTGCAGATTAGATTTATCATAGTTCCAACAAAAAGTAGTCTGAAAGCGTTAAATCGCACGACCGGTGCCGAAAGTGAAATAAAATGTTCACCGAACTCGCCTCTCAAAAAGGTCATTGTTACGCGTATTGTGTGGCATGTGGCACCGTCTTGTTGAAGCCACATGTCATGCAAGTCAAGCTCTTGCATTTTGGTCGAAAAAAAAGTTTGATATTGTCTCCCTGTAGTGCTCACCATTCACAGTTACGTTACGATTCGCATCATTTTTGAGGAATTACGGTCTAATGATGCCAACAGCCCATAAGCCGCACGAAACTGTGACTTTTTCTGAATGCCTTGGTAGCTCTTGCGTTGCTTCTGGCTGATCTTCACTCCAAAATCGACAATTCTGCTTATTTACGCACCCATTAAGCCAAAAATGAGCTTCGTCGCTGGACACATATTATTTCGAAGTGAAACAATCTTATAGAACTTTTGTATCTTGCACCCTCATCGAGGCGAATTTATAGAAGGTGAAGTTGTCACATCATATGATTGCTTGTTCTTCCTTCTATTTCAAAAAATTACAAAACCAAAACACATGAAAAATAGGTTTTGACATTTCGAACTTTCGTTTACACCATGATTCAATAATTAAAGGTTGGGAGTTTCGACGCTCCCTTACAAAACGGGTGCTTTTTCGAAAGTAGTTTTTCCGATTTGCAAAATGGCAGTTATTTTTTATAGCCAGAAATGTGTAAAAGATAGGAAGATAAGTATTTTATTTAATCATTTTTATTACATATCATAGATCAAATTGATTTTTTAAAACAAAACTAACTGTATGCATTATTGAAATATAGGTATAAGAGAAGTCAGAAAGAGGTACAAGATGGTAAAAAAAATATTAAAAACTAAAATGTGTACCTCTAATTGATAATACAAATTTTATATCCATAGATGCGATATGGGAGTTTTTTCTATTTATTCTACGGCTCCTCAATCTATCTTTCTGAATAGGTCCGAAATATAGTTTAAGAAGAACACGAACTATTTGCAAAATATTTAAAAACCAAAAGGTAACCCTGGCTTTTGATACGTATTGAATGACTTTTAATGATTACAGTAATGGTAATTATTTCACAGATAACTGCATTTCATTCTTTGTTGCGAATTAAAAGATATCTAGAATAAAAGATATCTGCAGTGAACAGAGGAAGATTTGCTTTTGCCCAGTTATTCATTAGCTAATTTAGGCTAGTTGATTATATGTAGAAACTTAAAGTAACAGTATTATTTTAGTCGTTTCTCTACTATTTTGCTCGTCACTTTAAGCTTTAGGGTAGCAAACTACCTTTATTAATCGACTTTCTATTCATAAAAAAATTATAAATTCTTTTTATGGTTTTCTGTAGAAATGTCCAATATAACCGACTTTTTACTTCAGACCCGTGTGTCGATCCATCAAAAAAACATGAATGAACTGAACTAGCACCCGATTGAAGAACATATTTGTGCCCTTATTATCCTTTAATCTTGTTATGTCTCTGTAAAAATAAACGTACATCCGTTGACATTTGATAATAAGTTATCATATATATAATAAGGTTGTGGTTCTTGTTATAGTGTATTCTTCAATGCAGCTTCTTTGCCGGACATCCATTTTGGTTGTCATCGCTACACCTTCATATGCTAACATTACACGTTCAAACGTACGCGATTCGCAACCACTTAGATATGCAGCTGCCTCGCCAGAAGAACCTACTGCATATTGCCAAGGCAAACAGATGTTGCAGTAATTTTTGTCACACCTTACATACATATGTACAAGTATATCTTAAATGCCAAAGCTTCCACAAGTTCACATACGAAAAAATTCTCAAGGATCAGTTCTTTAAAATCAGCTGAAATCATTAAAAAAATATTTATATACATACATATTATAGGCACATCAATATAAACTTACCAAAAAATATGTCAAATGTAAAAAAAAAATATATGCAAATAAATGAATATTTAAATAATCAGAAAATATTAAATGTAAGCAAACTCAACCAGCCAATAGGCAATGTAATTCAAAACTTTTTGGTACTATTTCAAATATATTATGCGAAATAGTGCGCTTTTTCACAAAAAAGGATTAGGGTTTTCTAGTCAGAGACTAGACTTGCCAGGAGTGAGCGAGAAAGCAGTCTACTTATCCAACCTTTAGTTATGGAATCATGCGTTTACACAAACAAAGTACATGGATTTTTTGATGTTGTACTCTAGCTACTACCAAGGTGAATTCATAAAGGTGAGAGCAGGAGAACAAAAACAACAATCACCGTGTATTTTGTTTTGTTTTCAGTGTGGCAAGTGTCTAACTCATGACAAAGTCATACAGTTCGCTTTTGTCACATTGAATTAATAATTCAAAAACAAGTCAGAAAATATTAACTTAAAAATCAAACTTGACTTATTCAAATGACATTAACAGTAAAGTAGTTTTATTTTATGGGATGTTAGGGGAGTTCTTTAAGAACATGTATTCTGAAAGGAATTTTGTAAGCAGTGGTAAAGAACGTATATTAAGATACTACTTTGGTAATGACTATAAGACTCAGTTACATTGCATGAAATATGTCTAGAAGAAAGTTCTATAATTGCTATGATCAGTAGAGTTCATTAGGATTACAGCACACCTTTAAGTTCTTGTAACGCTCTGCAGACAGTTGTAGATTATATAATTAATTATAACAATTATTCAATGTTAACATTGGAAGGATATGTAAATTTAAACACAGTATAAACGTAATTTTTCTTTTAAACTTTTACTAAACTCCCCTTCTTAATTTTTTTTTTGGCAATCCAGATAGATAGATATTAGATATACATACAAAAAACAACAGATTATTTTTGTAAGAACCCAAATATGTGTGAATTGGTAAAAACAAACGCCCTCGGACAAAAAGCCATACCCATCTTTACAGGCGGAACAAAGCTCGATGCTTTCAACAATCGATAATGTGACAGCAGAAATATCAGTTACCACAGATTCCGATTGTCAAGCTGCCATCAGATCTCTACAGAGCAACAGTACCACATCTTAAGTGGCTATAAAATGTAGAAGCAATCTGAGAGAACTCTCGATTAAATGCAAAACTAGTTTGGGTGCGCGCATTCCAAGTAATCGCACGGCAGACGAACTAGTGAGAAAAGGAGCTCTTCTATCCAAAATAAAGCATGTGCAAGATGCACATTTACCTTTGTCATGGCAAAGAATATGCTAAGACTTGCCGTTGTCAAAAATGCAAATACCAGATGACAGAATGAGATCATGAAACGTGACTTTATGGAAAAATATCTTTTCACTATAATGATGCTTGCCACAGAAGAAGATTCAATAGAACGCTAACACTTTTTTGTCTGTCACGCTGAGCTAGCATCAACGAACATTTGCAATCTCGTTACTTTTATAATGTACACGAAATGGTTTGAACATTTGAGAAAGTGAAGATAAAGCCTCATAATAGCGGTATCAAAATGGGCATATATTGCGCTTAGTGTGTTGGTCACTGATTAATAGCCGCATGAAACACAAAACTCAAATCCAAATCGGAACACATTTTTTTTTATTTGGAAAAAGTCACAAATCTTATTTGAAAAAATTTCTGCTTTACAAATAAAGATTACAAAAAATCAAAATGTAAACAAATATTTTGACTATCTTTACACTGAAACGAATTAATTAAATGAAGAAAGTTGAACTCCCTGCCCTAGTAACTCCCCCTTATGAAATTTTTTTTGGCTCCTTCCTACTAATTTTTACATTTTTGTTTCGTTTACATTTTCCTTGAGATTATCAAACTGATTCGATTTATTAACAATTTTAGCATTTAACTGTTAAATTGGGTTTATTTAACCATAGTTTAACTGATACAACAGGATTAAAGGTAACTTCAGCTTGCACAATTTCGAATAAAATCATTTCGAAAATATTTCATTAATTACCACAATTGAAATATTTTAAATTATAACATATACAACCATATATATATTGAGTTATGTTCAAAGTATTGGCACTCAATTGGCAGTATTCTTAAATTAACGGTAATAAAATGTTTCCAAAGCAAAATACACACATTGGCACACATTTACTGTACAATTGTACTTTAAACTAGTTATTAAAGAACTTTTCATTTACATATATATATAAAAAAAAGAAATCAACTCACCAACAACAATGCAGTAATAGTTATTGATACGAAAGGCAAAGCCATAAATATCAGCACATAAAGACCCGCAGCAAGGGTCTGAAACCGTCGTTTTGGCGGCACATGCACCGGTGCCCACTCGATTTTCATTGTTTTTCTTTATATTTTTTTTCGTTTTTTTTTTTTTTGTTTTTGTGTCTTTAAGTCACTCACTATAAGTGGAAATATTTAGGAATATATATATTATTTACACTTCACTAAAAAAAAAGATATATATATACATATATATATTATAGGTATTTCCAACAACCGATCACCACGTTCTGTACAATGTCTCCATCACAACTGAGGCGTGCGATTTAAGTGCACACACTTTCTTAGCGTTTGCTCACTGCCCGGCGCTGCGAGTATCTACCATATCGAAGAGAAAAATACAAATTTAAATAACCTTATCACACAGTTTTATTTCATTTTATTTTTTTTTTATTTAGTATATGTACGAGTATATACAAACAAATTTAATAGTATTTGGAATACTTTCGTACTCCTTTTGTTCTCAATAAAAAAATTTTTCATTGCGATACTGGCGACTTGTGCGCTGATAAGCGACTTGGAATGGAACTTAACAAATATTTTTGATTCCCAATGGCCACTAGCTAAGCGTACGCATATACGCACATGTATATATGTGCATACAAGTATATATATTTATTCCAAAAAGTCTGCTACTAAGTCCGAAAATTTCTAAAAGTAGCAAGAATTTGTAAAAAAAAAAAAAGTATTAAGTACATATGTATGTATGTATGTATGCGTGCGTATTGTTAGTGCATGTAACCATGACAGTAATCAATAATCGCATATCGTATATATATATATTATATATGTATAAATGGACGCTTTGTAACCGCTGAAGCGATTTTCGGCCGAGCTCCTTCTCTAATTCTTGATGTTTCTCCAAACAAATGGAGAGACCTACAGCTGAATTCAATCCGCCTCCGGTCGACCTATGAATTTTTATGTGGAGCTTTTTATTTCATGTCAGAAATGCACGCGGAGCACTTGACTTTCCCTGCCGAGAGGCAAAAAATTAATTTTCCTTAATTCTAGATGTTGGCGACCGCGACGCGAGCTCTGGTCTTTCGAACGGTAGTACGCTCCGCCTACCACTCGGCTATCTTTTCATATTAAGTCAAGTAGGAAGTTCATTCGGTTTTTATCTCAGAGACGGCGTTATTCTCCATAGTACTAGGGTCACGTCTCGCATCATGCCATACTACACGGCACTGAGAACGGGTTTCTTCGCGTTAAAAGTTTGGCTTTGACAGTTTTTCGATTGATTGACTCAGTATGTTGTGAGCGCTCGTCAAAGAGGAACACCAGCAAAGAGAAAACTCGCTATATTTTACAATTTTGCTTCGAAGAGGCCATTTTTGATCGACAGAGGCCGAATTGTGTTCCATCAGGATAACGTTAGGCCATCCACGTCTTTGGTGTCGCGCCAGAAGCTCCAGGATCTCGGATGGGAGGTCGCAATGCACCCACCTTACAGACCGGACCTGGCACCAAGTGATAACCAACTTTTCCTGTCCATAGCGAAAGCGCTTAATGGTGAGAAGTTGGCCTCAAGAGAGGTCTGTGAACTTTGGCTCTCCAATGCCAATAGGAATGCAGCGGGTTATAGTGAAGTTGACATCTCGTTGGCAACAAGTTTACGAATAAAACGGCGCATATTTGACTTAAATCGGACAAATGTACAAAAAGTTATCATATTTTGAAAAATCAGTAAAACAAAAAAAACCGAACGAACCTTTTACTTGACCTAATACATACATATATACATATGTACACACATATATCATCGTGTCATGTTTTATTACGCACTTTTAGAACAATTCCTTCACATATCAATGCTAACGACGTAAGCACCACAAAATTTTGGCTGTAGAACTAGACTGAGTGCCGAACTGCTGCTGAACGTTGGCAAGTTCATGTCGTCCGGGTGGATGAAAACGTTCTGAAAGTATTCGATGTAATATTCATTACTATGATATGAGGGTGAGTTTCTAGGTTCGTCGAATGGGGACAAGGGATGGAAATAACAAAAAAAATTGTTTTTTCCTTTAAATATGTTCACCTGCAAGGCGGATATATTTTTGGACCTTTAATGCATTTTTCTATATCCTCATAAAAAAGGGTTTTTCTTTTTATCTTCAATACACGGCGAAACTGTTTCCTTAATTTCATCATCGGTATTAAATTTTTTAACCCTCATGGCCTTTTTTCATCTTTGAAGACAGGTTGTAAGCACTAGTGGCCGGTCTGGGCGGTAGCGTGAGTGGGACCAAATATCATAGTCCACCTTATGCAGGGCAGCCACGGAACGCGGCGCTTTTGAGCGGGCGCGTTGTCGGTTAAAAGCAGCACATCCTTCGTCAACTTTTCCTCGTCTCTTATCTAAAATTTCTTCTTTTTGTCGCTCCAATAATGAGGCGTAAAATTCTGCAGTTATGGAAACACTTTTATACTTATAATCGATCAATTATATTCCTTTCCGCCATGAACTTCCCAGCTGTCTGTGACATCAAAAACTTCTTGAAAGGCGCTGTGCCCTTTTTACGCCACCACATGGAGTTTTGATACGACTCAGAGTCATTATCATATAATGAACCGAAATTTCGGCTGAAATAACAAGTCGACTCAGCATACCATCGTTCTCTTTATTGCAGAAGTTCGAAAACTCATTGTGAATACTCTACGGGCTATTGGCTTTGTGAAGGCAACTCCCACGTCACTGTTGACAGTCATAACTTTGAAGCCGTAGATAACTTCGTCTATTTAGGACCCAGTATTAACACCAAAAACAATGATGGTCTGGAAATCCAAAGCGGAATCACTCTTGCCGATAGGTGCTGTCTTCAAAGGATTTCCTTGTTTGTTTCAATAAACTGGTTTTTCCCGGTTAAGAGTCGCCAAAAACCAATGACATCTCGTCATTATAGTCACAACTGATTTTTTTTGCTTGGTAAGCGGCTTTACAACGGGCTGATATTCGCTTTTTTCACATTTTATTTTTCGCTCTCGTTTTTGTTGCTTGCTTGATGATCTCAAGGACTAATTGTCTAATAACAATGAAGCCTAGTCACTGAACACTTAATCACCTCTCTCATTCCGCGAACAGTAAATCGTTCCCTCGTACAGGGATCACTAGTATGGTTGGCGACACAAAAGAAGGGACGCATTAAAGAAACGAATGTTTTACTGGAAATGTCATTACCTCAATAAAGGCCTTGACAGCCATGCCTCTAATCAATTGCTATTCCGGTAGTTGTCAGCTTTGACACTGTAATTGTTGGACATTTGACAAGTAAAACTATGCCAGTAATAAAAACGAAACGGAAAATCGTGAAAACTGGCAGAGACGGTTCTTAAAACTAAAACAGTGAAACACTTTGTCAAATGGATATATAAAATTGGTGGAAGAAATGGCGCTGTTGGAACCAGTTAGCGATGTGAAGCATAAAACACATGGACGTCGCTCAAGAACAACTGGGAATATTGCCGTTGTAGCCCAAAGTGTTGAGGAAACCCCAGGTATGTGCATTCCTCGTCGATCTTTGGAATTGAACATTCCCCAAACGTCATTATACCGTATTTGGTGCATAGACTCAAGGCGCCTGATCATCAACAGCGCCGTATCTTTGCTGATTGGATCCTTGAAAAGCATGAAAATGATCCGGAATTTCATCGAAAAATCAGGGGGGCCGTCAGGGGGGCCAATATGCAAATCGATGATTATGGCAATAAACAAACAGTCATATCAGGGGCACGAAAAACGCCAATATTGATTGTTGAAAAGTACCTTCATACTCAACTTACTCAACGTGTAACTCTTTTGAGGGGTTTATGTTCCGGTGGAGTAATTGGAACTTACTTTTTCGAAAATGAGGCTAGTGAATGGATTGAACCATGGAGAGATGATTAATCACTTTTTAAGGCTAGAATTAGACGGCGCTACGTAACGCACAAGTAACGAAACCAACGATCTTTTAAGGGAAGAATTTCCGAACAGTGTTCACTCTCGTAGAGGGGATCGCAATTGGTCACCGTGATCTTGTGATTTAACATTTTGCGACTTCTAAATTTGAGGCCATGTGAGAGATAAGGTCTGCCCCAACAGGCTAACGGTGCTTCAAGACCCCAAATATGGAATTCGTAAAGCTTTTGAGTGAATACAGCAGTCATTTCGCGATTTGTTGAAGGAAAATTTCAAAAAATGGATACGGTTCTATAAGCGTAGCTTCGGTGGCGATCTGATTGATATTGTTTTTCATTATTAATGGCATACATTCCTCTATACATGGAAATAAACATTCGATCATTTATCTGAAAAAAATCTATTTTTCTTTGAATATCAAAATAAGAACTCTCGTTGGAAAACCCTGTATTATATTTATTATCTGCAATCAGATCAACAATCATATGTATGTATGTATGTAGATGTGTCAGCTAGAATATTAATTTAATATTCTGCTCAAATTAAATTCAAATAATTCACTGTTATATGAAATGTTTTATCAACGCATTAATCAAATGCGCATAAACATTCGCATTTAAGATTAAAAATTAAAGACTTATAAGAATAAATATTATCTATTATACTGTAGTATTTATATGCATTTATGTACATATATACTCGTACATACATACATACATACATATGTAGGTATGCGTATATGAAAATTGCCTATTAATTGTCAGCTTAACTACTGCCACTGAGTCAGTTGAGTTTGCTATTATTTACTTGTTCATACATACATACATGCATACATATAATACATACATACATACATTTGTATATACAAATATACAATTTGTTCTAAAACAATTTCGCAGCTGATTTTCGAATTTTACATGCAAACCGAATAAAAAAAATAAAAATTAAAGTACTGAATATTGAAAGCGAATTTGGTGGTGGCAAATGTGAAGGTTGACATTTAGAATTAAATATATGCATACATATGTATGTATGTATATATATGCTCGTATATGTTAATTAAGTTTTTATTTATACGCGCTGTGTAATGCGATGGAACGCCTACAATGCACATGTGCAAATACATATGTACATATATTTAATGCACAAATTCTAATGTCTATTTATGAATTAGCTTAGCCATTTGCATTAATTGTTTATTTCATTTCATTTTTATTGCTTACATTTTCTTCTTGCATATATTTGTTTTTGTATTTAAAACTTTTTTCCACAAAATTGTTTTAATTGAATATTTTATTGTGTTAAAAGTTGTATGTAGGTGCTTTGGAAAGTTTTTTGTTTTATTATATTATACGAGTATAACACGTGTATTTGTTTATTTGTTTTTTTTTCAGTAAATTGTGAATATTTTCATACACTTTTTTCGGCTACGTAAGTATAGAGTATTTTAATGAACACTAAATATTTTTACATTTTTTATTTGTTTAATATTTTTCATTCCTTTGCAATTTCATTTTCATTTAATTTTTTTTTTTATTTTTTTTTTTTTTAATCACCAAAACCAATGTTTTTAATACCTGAAAATATATATAATTATATATATTTTTCACTATTAAATTGATTACTTATAAATTTATGTTAATCTTTTAGCATTTTAACATTTGTAAACAAAATTTTATTTATTTTATATAAATATTTATTTTTATATTAAAATGCATTAAATATTTTTCGCAATTGGCACTCGTTACCGCCGGCGATTTGCAACGACTAACAGCTTGTAACGCTTCCCAATGAATATTTCACTGAATGCTACAACTAACGAGTCGTGTTTTAGCGATGTGTCGAATAGTATTATTCGGTAGAGCAAAAAGCTATAATTTTGGTTAAGAGTTTGCTATTATTTACTTTTATTTAGGCAGGTCCGTTTGTTTTTGTTTTTAAAAATCGATTAAGAACTCAACTAACAAAATGTCTATTTTGTTGACAGAATTTCACTTAAACTGCCTATAACTGATGCTAAGGCAATGCATTGTAGAAAAGCGCCTTTTGGAAACACCAAGTGAGCTAGGTCGTGCCCAACTCCTGTCTATATACATGCATACGAGTATGTCAACATCGTCATTTATCTCATACAGCACATCGTTACTCATCGCTTACAATATTCCCCGACTGCAATATGCTAAGGTCCAAAAATATTTCACAAAAGTCCAAAAACTTTCGCAAAGTTTTTCGCTGCTATGCTGACTCATGCATGGGCAAATATACAAACATTAATCAATAATAAAAAACTAACTGAGTAATAGACTAAATAATTATTTCTTCCGGAAAAATATTTCATTTACATTGAAAACTTAAAAGCAAATTCAATGAAAAAATTCGGCTAATCACAATTTCATTGAATTGTGATTTTGTTCTTCCATTGAGAACTATTCACAATGTACAACTAGACGTTAAGACGAGAATTTCGCGCCATAATACAAATCTTACATTTTTTATTGAGAATGCATCAAATATATGTAAATGTAAAATTGCGATTGCAAACATTATTTCTCGAAATATTCGCCCATACCTAGCTGACTCTCAATGTGTGTACGATCTTACTGCTCTTGGCGTTCTATGGCGTTTAAATCGAAAATACTACAAAATTCTAAAAAAAACATTTGCTTGAGTGTATATGCATACATATGGTCACACATATGAATATATGCACAAAAATAAATACATTCGTTCAAGAATACATACATATGTATATACATATCATAAATAAATAAAGTAAACTACCGCCAAATCGTTTTGCTTCTGTCATTGTAATGAACTCTCTGGTGCTTTCATTGACTTTATTTTTCATTTGATTCTATTTATTGTTGTTTGTGTGATACATTTTTTTTAAGCCATTTGTTCTACAAATGTATACATACATATGTGTGTGTGTCATGAGAGATCACTGTTGACCGTGAGTGACGTGTTGATCACGTCATCGTGCAACAGCCGACAACTGGCACACTGCCGCTTGCTTAGTGGAGCTGATAAAGGGAATGTGTAACATACATACATACATATATGTACATACGTGCAAATATTTACTTGGAAATAATTATGAAATAAAATTTCCTTATTTTTCCTCAGCAAAGGTTACTTTTATTCCATTACCATTATCAGTCGTCTGAAATTGATGGAAACTAGATGTCGCAAATAGTGTGCCTTAAGAATGTTATCACTTATAAATACGTACAATATATGGACTTTGAACTCTCCTATCTGCAACAGGAATTTGAACAAGTGATTCATTATCGACATGACGAGGCATGAAATCTACTTTGCATCGTAAATAGTTTCATGCTGAAGCTTCATAGACACTTGAACTTTTATTTGCACAAGGTCAGTTCTTCTGTTTAAAATTACATATTTTGCTGACTCATTTTGCTTGGTACAAGTTTTCAACATTTACGCGCCGAAAACAACAATTTTTCAATTGATACACATGCCAGTGCACCTAAGTGGCTTAATAGTTCTATTTCCGTAAATCCGGCATCGAAAAATGTGTTTTTTGCAACTGCCGAAACTGGCAATTGAGTGTTTTATAGTCGATTGGAATAAGCATTAGAAGAGCGGTTAGTAGTTCGTACAATATCTTAATTTATAAAAAATAAAATATAATTTAAATTATTATTTTTTCTAAAGCGGTTGCCGCTCGGCAGAGTATGTCAACCCTTCCTATTATATTTTCGACTTGAAAAAAAAAGCTCTACATATAAACCGGCAGCCTCCAATGTGCCCAAAAGAAAACTTTAGGTTCCTCCAATTATCGGGAAAGCATCATCGCGCACATCAAAAATTGGGTTGAAACTGAAATTAATAAATGTGAAATCAAAGACTAAAGATGCAATTGCCCATCTTACACACCTTACAGCCACTGTAATGGACTATACTAACTCGAGTATTTTCTGCGGAACAACCGTCAGTAACGCCATCGACAAGTGGTGAAAACTTTTCATTTACATGGCACTCTCATTAGATAGTAGCTAAGGGTGGAAAGTATGTGAAATGGGTAGTTGCTGGAAGCAATATTTCACCAGCTGAATTCTATAGTTGCCGAAGCACATCCAACCTTTCTAATCATATTTCCTTAACAGCCTGTTCTTATATGATATTTCCTGAGTTTTTGGCATTGATTTCGTTTAAAAAACTGCATATACCACTTCTTTGATTGCAAAAATACTTTAATTGCCGTTTGCTTGCTCTTCTTTCAACTCATTATTCATTCACAATTGGCACTTTTCAGTTATTTTTGCTTACGAGTTTGAATTTTGTAACTCTCTTCAGAAAAGTGGGATTTAAGCCACTTATTTTCTAATAGATTTTGAATTATTTTACTTAATTTTTTATACATATACGTCCTTTCCCATTCATTTTTTATCTTTTGACAAAAATAGTAAATATAAAAACAAGATTATAAAAATACGTATTGTTGCTCGATAAGTGCAATTTCATATTTATATTCAAGTATTGAAATCCAAAACATATACATGCATGCATACATACGTGTATATATGTATGTATACGTACATTCTCCAACTGTCGCCGGTTGAGCGCCATATGATCGTTCGCTAAGTAATAATTTTGTAACGACCTTTTCATTGTCCAGTTCAAATCAGTTCAGTTGATATTAATAATATATATTTGATATTCTAAATACACAACAATTACCAGTTGCAGTGCATTTTCCAAAACATGTTTTACAAGTTTTCAATAAAAATCTTAAACAATTATATATCTGCTGGTATTCGCGTGGATTTGCATGAGATAACTTTTAATTCACATATGCATATATATATATATATATGTATATATGCATTTGTATATATGCACGCATAATATGTTTTATAAGTAACAAATTTACATACATGGTATGTTTAATAACTAAATTGCATTTAAAATTAATACAAATTAAACAGCCTTGACACATGCCTTGGGAATTACTTTGCAATATGGTTCGTTGACTTTAATCGTTGCAAGTTAGCCAAGTTTTTATCCACATTGTTTTACAAATAAATCTGTATGTATGCATAAGTGAAGATGTAAATATGCATTGTTAAACTTGCATTTCAAACGATTCCATTTGTATCTGCTAAAATATCATTCAAAATAGCGTCTTACAACTTTAGATTTTAAAAATAAGCCACTATTGTGAATTGTGTAAGAAAGACGTTTTCGTAATTAAAGCTTAGTATCCAGCTAGAAAAATAATATATCCTTCTGATAATGAAGCGAAGACAGTTTTAGCTTCGATTTTATTTTATCGGTTAAGAGAACGGATTCCAGGCAGCCGGACTGTTACGTTTAGCCGATGCTTTTAATAAACATACATAAGTCTGGTTGAGCACAACAGTTCCAGGAAATAGGGGGAATATGTGTAGACAGTAGAGCACGTAATCTGTGAGTATCTGGCATTCGGCAGGCAAAAATTATGCTTACATGGGGTAGAAAGGTTCAGAGTGCAGCAGTGCAAGTTCAACGTAACCCAACCAATTTCTATAAAAGTTTTCGATAAATAATTATCTTCATTCCGAAGAAGCATTTTTAAGCCAATAGTGTTTAAAATACTCGTTGTGTATTAATTAATTTATTGAAGGCAAGGTGCGTCCGCACAATTGACTTTACAAATCTGCTTGTCATATAATCAAGACATACATACATACAATAATGACTTATGATGTCAAACTAAGACCAATAATTCATAAACTAATTTAAAGGTGTACTCCATTTATTCCATTTAATAGTCAGCTACATACATGTATACATCCATACATATGAATGCTATACTCAGTTGATTACAAGTTTTACATTCTCATAATTTTCAACATATTTGCTTTTGTGTTCCTCAAATAATTTCTTCACACTTTCAACAACTTTTTGATGAATTTCTTCAATATATTCCGGTTGCGGATTATCACTTTGTACCACATCGATTGGTGCGCCAACTATGAAAAGTTTGTAGGAATAAGAATTAAGAAAAATTACATAAATACATATGTATACATATGTATGTACGTCTTCCTCACCAACTTGAACGATACGCCGCTTAAAGGGCAATGGACAACCGCCTCGACCCTTTATCAACGTTATCGATATTCCAAATAAATACTTTATTAGTAATTGCCAAGATTGCGCGCGATGGCCGTCCCAACGATCAAAACTGTCTACCTCGCCAAATGTAAAACATGGTACGATGGCGGCACTAAAAGAAAAAACAATGTGGGATTGAACAATTCGTTTAGGTATAGCATTGAATCGTTCTCCTTTCATCCTCTTTGGGCTTAATGATTTTTATTTTTACTCGCACAAACAGTAAATAAAGAGAGAAATTAACTAAAAAAAATCGTATCTTAAATGAATATAAAAAATATATTTGAATATATTCTAAAACTCAATTAATAAATATTTAAGTCTTCTCAAGAAAATTTCGTAGCTTTGTTCTCCCTCCTACCTTCGGTTACGTGGTGCTAGCGTAGCCTTTAAATTAACCCATCTTGACCACGCTGCGTGACTCATGGGCGCTCCTCTAGTAGCATAGATCTTGTGGTCATTTTGGAAATAATCGATTAATGAAATTAATCGAAAAACGTATATTAAAGAAAAGCACCAGGGCGTGCCATTTGTTCCACCCACGGGATTGCTAAAAGCCTATTTCACCTCTATACGATATTAGTGAGAGCCTGTTTCACCTCTATACGATATTAGTAAGAGACTAATTCACCGCGAGTTAACAGCGAACTACCAAAAACTGGCAAATTATTTACAGAAGAGTGATATTTCGGAGACAATTATTTTATTAATTTATTATTATCTTGCTCAGGAATGTTGACAATTCAGAGTCAATTTCTGGCGGCAGTGGTGAAATAGTCTCTTATTTCTTTTGTCGATTCTGGCAGTTCACATGCTGTTCGCAACCGGTCCTTTTTGTTATTTGACGTTCTCTGGAAATAACTTGTTAAACATATTTATTCGATTAGGTCGTCATCACTACTTTAATAGACACGGGATTGGAAAGACGGAGACGTTCCCTGCTACTGATGAACATTTTCCTATATTTTTCTATGAAATTTCGCTGAAGGATTGATAGATGTCTGAAGTTTACTGTCACAATGTTCTTGAAGAGATAGAAGGAAAAGCCAACGGTTGAACTTATTCATATAGGTCATGCCAATGTTCGAGTCCTGGTCCGACTAACATTCAAAAATTTTAGAAAATCTATTTAAATAAACTCCTCACCTGGGAATGTCAAGCCCTCTAGTGTTTTTCTGAAATGAAAGTCATAAAAATCCATCGGCGGCAAAACTAAACGGTAGATCACGCCATTTGTTGAAAAAACAACAAGGCCCGCACCTCAAATCGGATTAGGAGCTCGGTCGAAAATCGCTTAAGCAATTACAAAAGCGCCAATTACTAATATTATATATGTATCTCATATATAATATATTTTTGTAACAGCTAAGATGCGAAAATGCTCCGCAGAGACGAGAAATTACCATCCCAAAGTACCATTCTCTAGTCTGCATTATAGAATTTTCAAAACTGGGATATCTTCCTTGTGCCAGAATAGTACTCAAACTTATTGTGAATTTACCGAGCAGACAGATATGAATATTTTATACCTCTTTTAATTATCGCCTAAAGTTTTTAGACATACCCACTTTTAATCGCCACCCGTACGAATCCTTTACGCCGTAAAAATGTCAATTCATATTGTCCTGGATGTGAGTCTAATGCCTCTTGGGCGCCACCAACCATAATCACAACGCCATTTGAGGTGAATCCATCACCCCGCCAACGTGTTGTTAAGTGATGCATTAAAGATTTCTCCGATACCGAAATGAAACCGCAACAACGTAAGTATTCATGAAAAAATGGCGTTAAAAAGGTTGCATTTAAAATGGTCTGTCTCGGGCGAATACCAGGAAATAATGCAAGCCAATTATCGATATCAAAGGTAACATTAATAGAACAGCCATAGCTGTAAAAATGAATGATAATAAATTAAATTAATATTAAAAAATCTAATTCTTATTTAAAGAAATAATAAGCGCTTTTAAAAAGTCAAACTGACGTTAAAAACTTACGTTACAACACCGTGGGGAAAATTTGCGAATATGTAATGACGATCGGCAGGTAGATTCACAGTTTTCACTAACTCAACAGGAAAGTAAAGACGTAACTGTTTCCATAACCAATTGCTGCGTAGAAATCGAAAACTAGAAACAATTATGAATTTGAGAAACGTTTACACTTTGCACAAATTCAAAAAAAAGAAAATTATATAGTCAAGACATTAACAAGTCACTTACCCATTTCCTTTAATGTTGAAAAAAAATTTGGCGTTTGTTATGTGAATATAAAAGAGATATGTAAGCATTACAATTTTCCAAAAATAATTACCGTAAATCTAAAAGAAATAAAGGCACAGAATTTTACAGAATTTGTTTTTTTTTTTTGTTTTTGCATTAACATTAATACACTCACTATCAAGAAAATCGTAATTAACCAACAACAGGGAAATACAATTGTTACTACCAGGAAATACACCATAGCCGCAAATTCACCTATAAAAAATGGTGTGGCATATCCTTTTTCTATTTTCGCCATTATCTCCACGCTAAATTTAAATAAACTTTAATTTATGCTTAAAGTGTGCAATCTGCTTGTGTGTCCGAAATGGGAGTGCAAAGATTTTTCGTTCATTTCTTTAGCAGCACCGCAAAAATTTACTCAAGCAATTGATTACAATTATCATAAAAACTCGAAATTAAGAACTAATTGCGCAAATAATTCTAATTGATTTTGTGCGATTGCACAAACTTCGCTTAAAAAGTTTACAATTTTTTTTCTACTTCAAGTCATAATGATAAATGCATAAAAAGAAAAGATAAATAATTCAAGACTGTGCGACGTTTATTTCCAAAGCTCATTTAAATGTTTTCAATTGAAATCTTAATTATGATTTTTTCGCGGCCACAATCATCTCATTCGATTTCGGATTAAATTTAAATCTCTATACGAACCACGGAAATATTAATACCTGTGGCGAAAGTCAGTTAAGAAAGATACCGATAATCGGTGCTTACTTATACACCGCGTGAATCGAATGTACTTTATCCAGAACATTCAGACAGAACTTACTAGGTATGTAGGCGAGAATTAAGCGGTTATTTAAAAGCAAAGCCAGTTCGTTTAGTGACAAGTAAGAGTTAGTAAACTATCAAGCCTATTCTCACTGTTACCGGTAAAGTAAATTTTGTTACTTTTCTTTAACACCAGAAATTGAAATTTGTTTTCTGGCGAACTGGTTACATTGTTTGAAGANCTCAGAATACGAAATGGTAACAAAATTTACTGAATGGTTAATTTTAATACCAAAGTGATTTTGTTACCTCGACAGAATAGGCCAGTATATGTTTAATAGTTGTGATCTATAATAAAGAAGCTGTAAGATAAGTTAGTGACTTTTATTTTACAATGCAGTGATCGAAACCGAAGGATGGGAATAATAATCGTGATTGAATTTACAAAATCATTTCATTATAGAAATCAGCTAGTTGGGAAAGATCTTTGAAATAAAATATAAGTATTTGTTTGTCAAACTTTTTTAAATTTGTCACGACAAAAGACATTCTGAACGCCATTTTTTTCTCAATATATCTCTTTAGTCGGATTTATAAGCCGCTTATTTATTCCGCAAATCGAGAGAATTTAGCCTTTATTGCTATTTTGGGTACATACATAAGTAGCCATTAACTTTAATATATAAATATTTTGTCTCATTGTTTCGTAGCCGTAAACGTGTTCGTGAATTTTCTGGCCAGAGAACGTAGAATATTTTAACTGCTATACATAAATTGGGGCATTGAGCGCTAAATCGCTGTCAAAAATCCTCATGGCCAAAAAACGCATATTAATTTCCCTTTTTCTTTTCTTATTAATATACGTTTTTTGGTTCGGCGCCGCGTTTTTAACGCCACTGAATTGCGGCGCAAGCTATCCCTTACCAAAGAACGTATATAATATACTGTGAATAACTAATAGTAAAAAAGAAGAAGAACTTATATTTTATATTTTACAAAACACCCTGTGCTGAGACTTCAAGTTTAAATTTAATTAGGTGGTTGTCATAAATTTTGTATATTTCAGCCGCGCCAAACCGAAATCTGATCATTTTAATTTTTTCTATCAATTTACAGTTACTTGAACATTACTTAATTTGTTCGCACCAAGCTTAATACAATTATGTCCAATTCATTATCTGAACAAAGTTCGCTTGGTAGCGTGTGTGAAGAAGTGCGCCCGTCATTTTTGCGTGCGCGCGATCCATCAGTGGATCGTTGTTTTCGACCGCGACCCGATCGACAAGTACGACTTTTCGATGAAATACAGGAAGAAGGACAAACAGATTATAATAGTGATGCCGATGTGTCATCATCTTCTGAGGATGTGTCCACAGCTCTAAGTGAAGCAAGCAATGATACAACAACAGATTCAAACGCCGCATTAGTTTATTTACGTTTGAAACCCGTAACAAATATATCTACTTCGTATACTATAACACCAAAAGGCAATGTGCTTACCGTTGGTCCTTCAAATGATGCATCATCTACAAGCAATAATAAAAATAAAATGGAACAACACTATAGTTTTTCTGCTGTATTTGAAAGTAATGTGAAACAGGATGAAGTGTACCGCATATGCATTGCGCCACGGATTGAGAACCAAACAGACAGTTTTACAGTACTGACATATGGCACATCTGGTTCGGGTAAAACTTTCACATTGTTGGGTAAGTAATTTTTTTTTATAGTAATAAAGTATTCACTAAAATCATTTTCACTTCTTAGGTACACCTAATCATCCAGGCATAGTACCACGTGCAGTGGAGAATATATTTCGCATGAACGCATCCAATATATATCCACAACCTGCTCTTAAGTTAGAAAAAGGGACTGCCTGCATATTAGATGACGACGCATTAGCACGCGAAGAACACATGCGTCAGACTTTGTTGGAATCATGCGTCGGAATGAATGCAGATCATGAACTCTTGGAAAAAACAATAAAAGCAGAGCATGACTTTCAAACTATAGTACAAGATGAAGTCTCAGTATTTATTTGGATTTCCTTCGTAGAAATATACAATGAATTAGTGTTCGATTTGCTATCTCCACCGTCACAACACTCGAAATTAAGCCAGCAAATGGCACCGCAACCACGTAAAAGCTTAAAAGTTGCCACAAACGACGGCAAAGTATTCATACAGGGTCTCACATCGGTTTATGTCAAGTCGTGTTCGGAAAGCTTGAAACTACTACATTGGGGCTTACAACACGTTTCATATGCATCAACTTCGATTAATTCCAATTCGAGCCGTTCGCATTGTATATTCTTTATAGATGTCATTAAATATTATAGTTCAGGTGTAGTAGTTGATGTAAGTATAATGTAACCGTTATTTACACAGAAGTAAATCAATTTAAATAACATACTTTTTTTTATTTTATTATATTTTTTATTATTATTATTTTTTTTATTATTATTATTTTTTTTATTATTATTATTTTTATTATTATTATTTTTTTTATTATTATTATTTTTTTTATTATTATTATTTTTTTTTATTATTATTATTTTTCTTATTATTATTATTTTTTTTATTATTATTATTATTTTTTTTTTTTGCAGACTTCATACAAATTTTGTGACTTAGCCGGTTCTGAACGTTTAAGTAAGACTCGTAACATTGGTTCACGTCTTACAGAGGCAAAAGGTATTAATACGTCACTGATGACACTGGGTAGATGTTTGGATGCAGCGAATAACAATAAAAAGTTGAAAACGAAATCTCAAGTCATACCGGTGCGTGAATCCAAACTTACAATGCTTTTGCAAGCTGCGTTGCTTGGCAAGGAGAAGCTCACTATGATCGTGAATGTAACGCCGACTGACTTATTTTATGAGGAAAACATGAATGTCCTAAGATTCTCTGCAATTGCCAAGAATATTACATTTAAACAACCTGTGAAGCCTGTAAATAAATCACGTTACTCGTTTGTCGTGGAAAAAGCTAAATCAGCAGCTGAGGAAATTATATTGTATGTTTCAGGGCTATGAAATATTAATATTTATTTTTATAATTAATTGTTTTATCATTATTTTTTAGTCTACGCAGTGAAGTAGAACGCTTAACGTCTGAAATGCAATATCGACTACTCGAACAAGAGCGACTTTTACGCCAAGAACTGGTTGGATCATTTGAACAAAAGCTGGCAGAAAAACAAAAGGACTATGAATTGACCTTAAAGCGAGAATTACAAATTCAACAGCGCATACACGACGCGCAGGTACGAACAAGTCATGCTCTTTATGAAGTATTTATATTATATGCATTATAACTATTCACATTTCTAAATAGATTGAATCATTAAAACGTCAATATGAAAATAAAATTGAGGATCTGCGTGAACAATATGAAGAGGAGGAAATCGAAAGGAAGCGTCGTACATTGGAGTAACTTTTTAGCTAAATTATGCTTAATTTAATACGTTTTGTACAGTAACCGTTTTAAATGATTACATTTATTGTTTTTCCTTTAACATACCTTAAATGTAATTTCTTTCATTTTTACAATATACTTTTTTTTTACTTTCGACTAAAAGAAAATCTCCATTTTGTGATTTGTTCATATTTACTCCCGAAATTAAGAGTCTACCAAAACGTTTCACGTTTTCCATATTGACTCCCATCTTTATTGGAACGTGTATGTTCGAAACATACATATATAGATTACAAAAACACAAATATAACAATACTACGCTTGCGACATAACATTGGGACCTTTATCCAACACGGCCTTAATGGTTTTCATCATAGTTGGTATCAGACCAATATGGCTATCGACACAGGCCACCGTACAATTTTCAAATTGATACTGATATCTTGAAAGTTCAATTTCGCCCGGATTTGATGGCAATCTACGACGTGCGTCCTCGCTACATTTCTTATGAAACCAAATAATTTAAACTACTAGATACGGAAACTTTTTAAGTCACTTTACCATTACGCAATTCTGCAAACGTCCTTGAAATTGCCCCAATTCATGTTGTAAATAGTCCTGTGCCTTTGTCAACGGCACCGCACATCCCTCAATACAAGTTTGTACTGTATCTAAAGTACCGCGTTGATCATCACAACATTTAGATGCACACAAGTGCATTTCGGACTAAGGTTAACAAATTATTTAAAAAAAAAATGGTTATTAAAATATCGTTATTTCAAACCAACCTGCATTTTCCGTAAATGACTTGAATACATTTCATTTATCATATCGGATACTGCGCGTTCTACGCGTTTTCGTTGTTGTTCTATCATTTACGCGAGAGAACGCGGTTATTAAGTAAGTTAAACTTTGATTGTATACGTTTTAGATTTGATGTTTAGACACATTAGCCGAAATCAAGGCGAGTTCAATTTTTCGCAACTAAATTTTCATAAATATAAATATTTTTAAATAAATTAGTTTGACATAAAATCTAAATGAATTTATTTATTTTTAACAAATAAAACAGTTGTTCCTAATGCAAAAATGCACAAAAATTGCAGTAACCGAATATTTCAACACATATATTCTGGTGTTCCATATTCCTTGGGAGTCGTCTGAAATCGTTTTCACCTTTATGTATACATTGCATTTAAAAAAAAAAAAAATAAGCAGTTTCAAGCAGTTAAACTTGTGGTATGGACTCTGTACCCTTCGCCAGCACTGACTTTATAGTTTTCATCATGGTAGGTATGAGACCAACGTGTTTATCAACACATTGTACGGCGCAACGTTCAAATTGGTCGGTGTATTTAGCGATATCTGATTCCGAGGGATTAGCCGGCATCTTCACTTTGACATCGTCATTGCATTGCTGGAAAATGCAAATGCAAACAGTTTGTATATTTATATATTTTACTTAATATCATTGTCTTACCATAACGCAACGCTGCAGACGTCCCTGAAATTCACCCAACTCGTGTTGTACGTAGTTTTGAGCGCGCGTCAAAGGAGCCGAGCATCGGTCTACACATCTCTGGACACTGTCTATGCTCGAATTCATATCCTGACAACATTTAGCCGCGCATAAATGCATATCTGTCTACAAATATATTTTCAAATTTTCAAAAGCAGCATAGAAAAATAGTAGTTCATGTTAAAAATTAATGCTCACCTGCATTTTACGTAAATGCGTTTTGTCCATATCATCCACCATCTCTGTAACCGCACGTTCGATGCGTTGGCGCTGTTGTTCAATCATTTTAGCGATTCAATTTTAGAAATTTTACAAAATTATACAACAAATGCAGGCAAATGCAATATTAAAGGAACTTAGCAATAAAACCAGAAAACGTGCACTGATTGCAACAGCTGATAAGACGAAATATTGAAAGAAATGTCAAGCTTCGGTTAATTGGCCTCATCAGCTGATCCACCAGTGTAACCTGTTCGAATAATTAATATTTTAGAATGCGTACCCCCTATATTTATTCATTTATTCAAACACACAACCTTAAGTTATTTTATTTATTTTCCTTTTTTTTTTGGTAATGTATTAACACTTTTTGTAACAAAATCGAAGTTACAGTTAAAGTCAATAATTAACAAACGCTACATATGTAAGGTTCATGAAGAAAAAATATTGATATATAATTAGGACTAAGCTCTTCTGTACTACCTGTATTCAATTATATATTTACTCAACAACCCCAACAGCTGTTATTGTTGTCAAAACTCGACTGACATAACAATTATAACCTAAAAGTGTTTTGGCTTATATTACTGTTGATATAGTAATTTTGAAAAGAAATGTCTTTATTGTATAAAATAAGTACTGCCGCTGTGTATAGCTCACTTAAACCCAGTGTATTGCCAACGGCTTCAAGTATACACAAAACGTTGCGCACATTTTGTTCAAGTAAAGGCACGGTCCAGGAGGCAGCAAATGTGGAGAAGGAATCCCCATTGGCACCCAATGCAAATGTGAAAAGTGGCTTTGCTTTAGCTTTTGATAAACATACATTAGCTGCTACCAATGAAACTGAAGAAGTTGTCGATAATGAAACTTTTGCCTCGCTGCTCAGAAAATCTAAATTTATTGATGTAGGTACCCATTTTAGATATATGTACATATGTATGCTGTTTATTTTATAACAAGCTCCGAATTGTAATCCAAATTTAGCTGGGTGATCCGGAAGGTAAAGTTGTGAGTGGTAAAATTTTCCACGTAGTCGGCGATGACTTATACATTGATTTCGGCTGGAAATTCCATTGTGTTTGCACACGACCATTGCGCAGTGGAGAGTAAGTTTGGGCAAATAAAAAATTGTTTTCAAAGGTAAATCAATTTCATATACTTGTTTTTTTTTAGGGATTATGTGCGGGGAGCACGCGTGCGTCTACGCATCAAAGATTTGGAACTATCAACTAAATTTTTAGGTTCAGATAAAGACTTGACAATTTTAGAAGCTGATTGTCAACTACTTGGCCTGATCTCTTCCCCCGCCAGACAGAACACAAAAGCAGTGAATACCAATTAATTAAAACTGTATTTGTTTTTTAAATACATTTATAGCCGTAAAAAGTTGTTATACAATGTATTGTCAACTACATTTTGTATTATTCGAACAGTCATGTTTCTTACATTCGAAAACTTCGTAGTGGTGATTCAGCTCCTTCACTGAATGTAATTTTAATCGAGTCACGAGCGCACCATTAGATGAACGATTTAAGAAGTAGACTCTACGTGCACGACTATGTACCAACGCCATAGCGCACATTAGACATGGTTCTTGGCTTAGATACAAATCATAACCAGTACATAAGTATGGACCATACTTTGCTAAATTATCCATATTACTAGATTGCTGATTTTGTACCATTTCTTCGACTGTCGTTTTACACCTTATTGGTTCTGCACCGATCTGGACATCGGTAAATCGTTTATCGTTGCGCAATAATTCTAAATAACTTGTTGGTATGCCACTTAATATGCTGTTTTCTTCCATTTCCTTATAAGAATCTCCATCAAGGTTTCCAAACTCTTGGGTAAGTTCTTTCTGCCAAGCGCCACCACCTTGTGTTCGTGCTACGTAATCCACTAAGACCATCGGACAGTGCATTACTGGATTGATTGTAATTCGACTACTTGCAGCTGCAACAATTGCGTTATTGCGAGGATCTATACAAATGCCACACGGTTTGTTTGCTTCTAACTTACTGAAAATTTCAAATAAAATTTCAATAATTTTTGCATGGAAAGTACGATCTTTTTCATTAAATATGCTTCCGCTATGGAGTGATTCTATATATTTGTCTGGATGAAATTTGCAGGGCCAATACTTTTGCGCATTTTCATATTGCCAACGTAGAAGTGGTGCTGTAGATGGTACTTCTTGTTCTCTTAAATTTTTACATAATATATGAATAATCTTTTCACTTAGACCGACAGTTGTCAAGTATTCTCTTATAGGCTGCCCACTTAGATCAATAACTTTGCACAAAAGTATATCCTGCTGTCGTACCCGTTTTAAGTGTTGAAGCCCCATTTTTTCCAATGGTAGCATTTTGCTTAATTCTTGCATTACACATGATATTTGGCGTTTATTTTCTAATTCACTCAGGTAAACTACAGCACGAGGCAACTCCTGCATATATTCATCGGTAAGTATCGCGTTAGCGTAGCACTCAGAGGTTGCACTCAATTTAATACGTTTCGCTGGTTCCGTAGTCTCCTGCTCCATTATTTCAAAATCAAGAGTATAATAGAAAATTAGTAGTTTGTACGAATATTAATTATAATTAATTTATATTATTCATTAATTAGCCTATATTTTTGTCTTCCACAATTTCTAAACAAATGTGAACAGCTGATTTATCTTTGAGTGACATTTTCAAATGCAAGTAAATAAGAATAAGTCAAAAGAGCACGAAGAAAATTATTAAAAAGCGAATATAAATAAAACCAAAACAACCAAAAATGCAATCACAATTGATAAAAGAAATTAATATAAAAAATATCAAATCTTATAACGTAGTATATTATATAAGCACATAAGTAAAAAAAATTATACAAAATATTTTATTAAAAAATAATAAAATATTTTCTAGGAATGCAAAGCAGTGCAAAGTTCCTATTGGAAACCTAATTCGTGAATAATTTCCTATGTTTACGAGCACTGGCATTTCGCATCCGATGAAAACAAACAAGCCAAAAATCAGCCGATGGAGGAGAAGAAGCAGATAACACAAATGCTACCATCTTCATGTTTTGTAGAAACACCGTTTCTTAATTATAAATCTGTCTCTTAAATGAAAAACCTTTTAAATAAGTCTTATTTTGCAATGATAAAATTAAATATATTTGTTTAAAAATCTCGCTTAAAGAATTTCTGCCACCGCAAAATGATCATTTAAAAAACTTGCAAAATACTGGCTGTTACTACTATTTGACAGTGGCATCACCGTTAATCTGGTGACAGAATTTGGCAGCAAGAAAGTGGTTAAAGAGCTTCATTTGGTGAAATTGACAAAAATTGTACAAACAACGCAGCAGTTTTTGATTTCTATCAATAATATAATTATAAAGCATCTATAAAATAGTGTAAAAACAAAATCACGTGAAAGTGTTTTAAGATACAATCGTTCAATTTACTCGGTAATAGCAACCTGACTGGGTAACTCCCCTTCCCCCATTTTCAATCAGCCGTTCTTTCAGTGCACCTGAATTTTAATAAAAAGTGGGCTTGGTGGACCGGATAACAGTTGTTTATTCACATACATACATATATAGTGAATAGATAAAATATACGTGAATAATATAATTTGACCTAACGGTGACGTAGACAAAGAGAAATGGAGATCGGTGAGTAAAAACGCGTTCTCTGTCTCTGTTATAAAAAGAAAACAGCATATAATCGATGAACAATTATTTTGCGACCAACCACCCTTCAACACCCAGCACCGTAAACCTAAAGACATCGTGCGTCGCAGATTCATTTATACATATGTATGTATATACGTTTTAGTTACTCGGATTGCTTCATTTAGAGGCAAGAAAATACATTTGTATTCGGAAGTTATTTAAAGCAATTAAATTGTAAATAAAACGTGTGGTTTTCGTATCGCGTGATTTCAAACATATGACGTAGCAAGTCAAATCTGTTTTCTCCCTTACTATAAACTAGCAAACGCCACAACCACCGCTCCGTAACACAATCATCGCCTACATATGGGCATCTATTTGTAATCTTGCATTTTCCCAATGTTTACAACGTTCGTGTGTTTGTTTTCTTGATAGCTTCAGTGCTCACCGGCAGTACATAGCGATAAAAGCACGCTTGTTATTCATTCGCTCTCAAAAGTCGCGCCACCATGTATACCGGGAGCACTAATTGACCTTGGATTCCTATTGGATGTTGAGGCTCGCGCCATTTCTACGTTAACGTAGTTAGTGTTACCAGATTTATAACTTCGAAAACGAACCACTTACGTTACGTTCCCAAATGGTGGATGCACAGTGGTAGTGAGTGCACAGTGGTGGTGAATGCATAAATAAAAACAAAAACGAATTAAGAAATTAAAATTATATAATAAATAAATTCCTTTGGTAACTACAAAAAATAACAGTTTTTAAAAAATGAATCAGCAAAATCTCTACATACACACAAACATACATACACATGTGTCGTGGCAATTGCCAACTATTCTCGAAAACAAGAAAGTTGTTCATTCTTAATTTACCAAGGACCTGATGCCAAATAACCAGAACGCTAGCCTACTTTTGGCTTTTATCCTGTTACTCACTATCTCAACGGCAAACTGTTGCTTTCCAGTGGGAAACATAATACCATAAAAAATTATTTAAATGTTGTAAATAACGTCTTGGAATACTCAATACCACGTTTCGCAAAAGAAAAACTTGAACTCTCAATCTTAGTATAGTCGTTACAACAACAACATTGTGTTTGATATATTGAAATTTTCCTTCACAGCCTTCTTATCAATCAGTTTTTGAGTCCTAGCTTGCACTCCTACCATATCGAATCCTCGCATCCAAAAACACCGCTTGACTATGCAAATCCCAAAACATTTGCATAAATGAGCCGCTCGGTGTGCACGTCGATTAATTCGACTTTTTGAAAATTCTTAAATTTAAGTGTCATAGCCTTTGGTACAGTCCTGCCTTTTTATATTTATAGTATCTTTCCTGAACAATAAAGATTAACACCGTTAAATAGCAAGTTTTTTTGGCCATTGAATAATAAGTAATATATTTCAGAAGCCACATCTATTACCTCCGAAATCAGTAACACTGTATCTCTTCTGTAGTTTCATTCTCTCTTCGCTGTAGGCCTCATAGCTATCACGGAAATCTCAGCTATTTGCCCAATGACTCAGATGTTGCCATTTTTTCACCACAAGATTGGTGCCATATAATCAAAACATGCAAAAAGAAAGCGCCATTACGTCTAATCCAGATGATTCACCAAGATTTATTTTGTCAACAAAACCTTTAGAACAGTCTATCATTAACAGAAAAGTAACCGCCACAGGGCTTCCAGTAAATTGGCTTAAAATACGCTGGATAAAGTTAGTAAGGTCCAAACCCTATCTAATGGGTTTGTGATGAAGTCACAGGAATTCAAGTCATTGATATAAGAAAATCTTTAATCGGTAGACCGCAAAATTTTAAAAATTCAGATCAGCCTTTATTATATCCTAAAAGTAGAACTGTGACGAAGGAAAAATGGAGAGACATGATGGACCTGCTAGAATTCATTCCTCCTGTTGAACACGATTACTATAAAGACTTGTTAACAAATCGGAATGGCGAACAGCTGATGAAGAAGACATTATTCATAATATCGCTGAATCATCCCAAAGAATAATGTCGCCAACATAAAGCTGCTTAGAATTATTGTAGTTACAAAAACTGTGCTATAACCGAACTGTTGTTGTTGTTGTTCCTGTTGTTGTTGTAACCGCAAAAGTATTCCCAAAGTACTTTTTGGGGAATGTTGCGGGAGTGAGTGACAGTCCTTGGCCGCATATTAATCCTGGTCGTTCCGCTATAAATACCCGACTGTCGTGGGAACTATTGGATTTTAGTCACCTCTTACGACCGGCATGTCTTACCGCGGGTAAATTCTTAAACCACTAACCCCCAAATTCCCAACAATCATTTTTATAAAAAAGCTGTGATAAAAATGTATAATAACTAACTTTTCAGTAATAAAAAACGTAAATATGTTAAGACTATATTTAACTCTATTACTTTTTCCAGTTGACAAATCGATTAACTCCACCAGTAACATAAAAAAAGTAACATTACTGACGATTGTTTGTTGGCTATTCTTTCTTCTTAATTTTATATACCGTTAAATGACAGCTATATCTGCAGTTATGCATTCTTCTACATTATATATTAGGTCAAGTAAGAAGTTCGTTCGGTTTTTATCTAAGAGATGGCGTTATTGTCCATAGTACTACGGTTACGTGTCGCATCAGGTCATACTATACGGCGTTGAAAACGTGAAATTGGCAAGGTATCATCTACTACGAGCTGCTCCCCTATGGCCAAACGCTCAATTCGGCCCTCTACTGCCAACAAATGGACCGCTTGAAGGCAGCACTCATCCAGATCTTTGATCAACAGATCAACAGAGCTCAGATGGGAGGTCCCATTGCACCCACCTTATAGTCCGAATCTCGCAAAAGGATTACCATATTTTCCTGTCCATGGCGAACGCGCCTCAAGAGAGGCCTGTGAAATTTGGCTCTCCGAGTTTTTTGCCAATAGGAACGCAGCCTTCTACGAGAGGGGTATAATGAAGTTTGGCAACAAGTTTACGAACAAAACAAATATGTGCCGTCATATTTGACTTAAAACGGACAAATGTACACAAAGTTATCATATTTTGAAAAATCAGTAAAACAAAAAAAACTGAACGAACTTTTTACTTTACCTAATATTTAAATTGACATTATCAGAGGTATTTTTAATAACATTATACATTACATGATCGCGTTTCTCAAATTTGTGTTTTATGGAGTTAATCGATGTGTGCACTGAGCGGCTCAAATAGCTAATAGAAAATACTAACCAAAGTCCAGTATATATGTATGAAGTGATATTGATCTTTCTTTAATTTTTTAATTTTATTAAATTTGACTTTTTACAATTGTTTTTTTTTCTCAAAAATTCCGTCCATCCTCCTATTGAGATTATCCGCATGATTTCTGACTGTTTAAGTTCATGTTCATAAATATGTACAATTATCGATGTACATACACGTATGTATATGAATCGCGTGTAATCAGTAAACGAACGCATGCCAATGAGTAGTGATCACATAGAGATTTTATAATAAAAAATCACCTCATCATCAGCATTTGTCTATTGAGTTTGAGCTAAGCCTACATGCGTACATATATACAATACATACAGATGTCTAATCTCTTCAGTGTCCGACATTGACATTGTTGATGTATCAATCATCTGTATATATGTAAATGCATACATACATATGGGAGATATCTTTGTATTGCCTTGCTTTGCTTTTTGCATCTTATGCTGCAGAAAAATCTGTATGTAATAGTTATAAACAATAGAGTTCAATACATTGCTATTCATCAATTCAATATCAATTTTTGAAGCAACGAACTGTACATACATACATACAGACATACATACGAGTATGCACCAAAGGAAGACATCTTCACGTTGCTACCGGCGAAATGTTGTTATATAATATTAAATTAAGATTAACAGGCATACATACATACATACATATATATATATATATATATATATATACGTACATATATTTACATATACGATGCATGAAAAAAAGTGAAACCTTGCCGAGGTAATTATTCTATTGGCATTTAATCTGGCACGCGTATTT